TAAAGCGGGAACCGATTACATTTATAGACTTTTAATATAGCCTTATAACTTATAAGTAGCTAGTATGTATTGTAGAAAATATGCACTAAGTAACATCAGTTTTTTTCATCGTTCGCAGACCAGACGGCAGACAAAACGAGTTTTGTATCGCGTGTGCGCATTATTAACCGTTCTAACAGCTTATTAGCACCATTAGCTTTTATATAATATTATAATACGTATAATACAAACATTTTTGTATTTATTTTACAACTATTATTTTTAATGCCACCTTCAGAAACTATTTCTGTTATTAGATAGTCACATTTTTTAATATTATTTATTATTATTACTTGTATTATATTTTAATAGTTAGGACCCAGGAGAGTCGGAGGGTTGCCTTTGTCAGCTAAACATTCAAAATAAAACAAATTAAAGTGGTGGTTTTTGAGTTTTAAAAATTCGATGTAACAAATTTATATTTTTGTATTTTAAATGTGTTCGAAAAATAAAAGATGAATCATAATAATAGGCACAGTACGTTTCAAGAGCAATTATAAATGAAGGCTGATAAGAGATGAGCTCCATATAAATCGTTATCAGATATAAGGATGTACAAATTTAGTCATGAAATAAATACCTTATGTAAATGTAGACTTCCTCCTTCACCCCTAAAAATCGGTCTATCTAGTTTCCACTCATCAATGTATTACTATTATTAAAAAGATAACTTTTAACTACCTACCTAGATAGAACATATTATATAACAATGCTTTATTATTTTCAGAAACGAAATCGATACGATTTGCGACTTGAATAGAAAGATATGAGTTTATGAGTCTATGGGTAATTTATTACTAATAAAACCCGTTGTGTCGAGTTATTGCGAATCCAAAGTGTGAACAATCATCTGCGAGGCCTCATTACTAGAGCAATATATTATATTTATTTCCCGTTCATAGAGAGGGGTGGTGGCTAGGGGTATGGATCTTTGTAAACCGGTGTTGGTGAGTTGCGGCTTATAATATTCTTAATACAAATCCATTCTATTTTATTATTGACACAATTATAGATAAAATTATAAACAATTTTTTTAGTGACCTTATAAATGTTGTAAGAATTATTTTAATTTATATTTAATGAATTAAATGCACAAAATACACATAACATTTTTGGAGAGTTATAAAAGCTGTCTCCCGTGGTACTCTCTGGGTAATGCTAAATACAATGGTTTCAAGTATAAGTGTTTCCCAAATTGTGTATAATAAAAATATGTGATCAAAAAGTGCTATAGTCTTGGGCAAAAAGGGAAAGTAGTTTTAAAATATTTGGGCAAAAAGCGACATGGGTGAAAAGCGAAAGGTCATTTTTGGGCTAAAAGAGTCCCACCCGTTGCGGCCCAATTCTTAAATAACGTATACGCTGGGTCCCGGACTTATGAAAAGTACGTACGAATTGTGGCCGAACAATAATGTATATGTTACATATATATATATATATGCCATATAATATATAGTATACAAGCACCGCAGTATAAATTTACATTTACTAAATTAATTATTAATGTTGCTTATTTTTTTATATTGTTGTATATTAATATTGTTTTGCGTTTCTAGAATATAATATGTGATATGTCTTATTATGGTAAAAATGTTAAAAAAATAAAAAGTATTCGTATATAATAATATTATTATATCTAACCTAACCTAACTATTATTTAGGAAAAAACTTAAAACTCAACGATTTAACTAAACCAAAATTATCTATTTCTTATATTTTAGATCATGCTTTGTTAATTGTTCTCCATTCAAAATTTCTTTTTCACACATTTTCTTTGTTCTTATACTTTAACTTCTACATTTTATGTATATTTCAGGTTGAACTTCTAGTAACACTTCAACGGAGTTATATATGTTGGAATAATGGAATGGCTAGTGTAGAACGACATGTTTAGTTTTGAATGAAAAGTTTCACAGCTGTTAGTAGTACGGTTGCAGCTAGTAGTAAACTATGCTCAAATATTAGGGGGGATGGACATACTATCCTGTGAAATATAGTTTTCAAAAATGTAGTCTGTCATTTTCAGCAGGATGTATTGCCAAAAATTCGTAAAAAAAAGTTTATAAAGCAGTCTATGATGTTTTCAGAATCCAAAAAAATATTTTAAATAATGACTTACGTCTGTATTATCATTATGTAGTTTAGTAAGTCCTAAACTTGGGATTTTCCTCCTCTAACTGTGCCCTAAATGAAATCGACAAGATCAAAGTCATACGGCAGATAATAGGTACAATAAAACGATCTATATTATCTTTATCATACCATGTAAAGACATAACTTCCCATCGTTAAACTCTATATGATAAATTTAATTAAGTTAGATATCATATAGAGTTCAATGCTCCCCACATACGTATCGAATATTACGTTTATCGCATTATTCGTTATAGTATATGCAACACCGCATCTGCCAGGTCCATAGGTAATAGGTATGTTTAGGTACATAGGTAATGATAATTACACGGACCGCAACTCATCTACACCTAAAATATTATCGGACCGGAATTCAACGGTCCCCTACATTGAAAACGACACGTCGGGCCGCAACTCACCCACAGCCTTGTAGCCTTGTATTATATTAGGCTCCAAGAAATATGTAAGCCAACAAAAACCAATCACGAAGAAAACTGTGAAATAAATTATGAAATAACGCATGACACCGGCGGATACGTCAATGATAGGTATTAAACTGTATAAGAATTGTAAATAATTAAAATGTATTACTACTTGGAACGTGCCTACGTCAATATTATAGTCAAGTATGTATAGTTTACACAAAATAATATTTAAAAAAAATTCAAGATGACTTATACTAATAGACAGTATTCGTATACCGCACTGGGTGATAGAATAAACTGTATATTACCTACCTATTGTACCTATATATGATAATGATAAATTGATAAATATCGTAATAATCTTAATATACGACATACCTATATGTAACATACATTACCGTAATTGTGCGACCCATCCCCGCCGGCCAGGCATGCTCTGTCTAAGGCTTGAGATCGACATTCCCACATTTTTAATTTTTTGATTTTAACTTCTCTAAAAATTGTAATATGACTCTTTTTTAATGCAACGTTTTTAGGAATTGGGGGATGATATCAAAAATGTGGGGAAGTCCGAAATCGATCTCAAGTAGTCTTGAAGACAAATTCAAATTTGTTTTTAGAATTCGTATTGCTTCATTAGATTAATTAGTACGTTTGGCATGAACACGTCTAAAATCTTATGTCACGCGTGTGTTAGACAAAAACAGAAAATCATCAAATCTCCATAAGACAGTATTGCGTATTGATTTTTATAATAGTAAATTATCCTATGAACGCTTTTTAGTCATATATATATATATATTGTATACAGAGAGTCGTTCGATATCGATAACACTCTAACGAGTAATGTGTACATAAATAATTAACACTACACACATAAATATTAAACACTGATAAATGCGAGACAATGAATCAACACATTTCCGATTATTATAATAAAATATATCTATATACTAAATAATAAATACCTAGCCGATCATCGATAAATTATAAAAATGTGTGAATTTCTAAAATTACCAAGTAGGTGCTTATTAACTGTTTACTGTTATAGTCTATATCCTACATGTTTGTTTTGTATAGTTGAATAAAAAAAATATTGCCATTTTTATGAGTAGGTATATTTTAATAGAGTTAGGTAGCTTTTATGTGTAGTCTATAAGATAATACGATTATATCTATAATAAAGATAACGTATAAGGTATAACTGTAAAGACTTGAATATTGTTATAAAAGATTTACAACACCTATTTTAAAATTAGATGTATAATATTTCAATGTTTAATATCGGGAGAATAGAGATTGAGAAAGACAGATCATCAACGAAACAGAAAAATACTTTAAAAAGTTGTAAGGGGAAAATTTTGAATTTTTATTTCTTAAAATAAATATCTGAATTTGTTCACCTTGCATACATATTTGATCACTCTAAGCTGAAACGATTATACCACATAAATCACAATGTTACATTATTCTCTTACATCAAAAAAAATGTCACTAGATTGTCTCCTTAACGGTTTTACATTTTTATATTATGGTGCCATAACTCCTAAACCTGTAATAATCCTATTGTAAAAGTACAAATATTTCAGTATCGGGAAACTTTTATAAACAACTGTGCTGAGGTTTAGGTTTTGGTGTACAATAATTTTCCTAAGCTACATAGGTAGATTAGCTGTGCCGTGTATTGAATGGGTATCCAGCAGCAATCATTTGTTTAACATGCAAGTAGTGCAAACCCTCTATAGATAAACGCTGAGGGTCAACATAGGGTTCATACTTCATGCAAATTTAGTCAAATTAATCATTAGGTACCTAATGTACATTTTAATAAGACTTTCTAAGTAAAATAGTTATAGAGGTAACAATTTTTGTTTTGTCATATAAAATAAAACCATTGGTGAGAACTCTTCAAAATTTGCACTCAGTTGTTAAAGAAATAATAATATAATTATAATAAACTCTTTATAGTTATACTTTTAACAAATTATAGTATGTAAAATATTAAATAAGATACCTACAGGAATATTATGAGCCTAGAGCCAACATTAGTGTATTTAAATAGCCTGTTCAAAACACCACCTGATCCTAATATTATTATTGATATTAATACAATCTAACCTAAATAGTTAGATACATACATAACATTATAATAATTAATAACATAACTAATCAAAACATTTTAATGTTAAATTATTTAAAAACTCTAGTTATTTATGGAAGTGGTTAATGATGGCTCTTATCACACAATATGTTAATTGTAAATTGTAATAATTGATTTCATTGATCTGTTATGTTTAATATACTTATACTATTTCAATTGATTAAACATTTTATAATTTTATAAATTGAATGAATAATGTGATCAATAATAAGTGACGACTAGGTTTTTAAATAAAACACAATGTATGCATACTTAATTAGTTGATATATTTATCTTTTGACTTTTAATGTAATACAATAGTCGCAAAACAGTGCTGGGTTTAATACCGGGTATTCGACCAGCAGCTCCAATCTGAAAACAAAAATTAATGAATCAACAAAATACTTTATTATGTTATTTGTTCCATACTGTTTGGGGTTTAATGTAGGATAACTTTTCAATTTCTTCTTTTGATATACTCAGAGATGTACTGTAAATAAAAGGGTAATAATATAAACATAACTTAGCATATGTTTGTATTGACAAAGAAATATTAATATATTACTGTGTATAATCTATGTCCTTAGGTACAAGTAAAGATTGATCAAGTTCTACACGTTCAATATCCTCCTGTTGATCGTAAATAGAAGCTTGATACAAAGCTTCAATTTTCAGACGCTCGCCAATTTGATTATCTTCAAACTTTCCGCCAAATTTATCAGGAAGTATCATTTCCAATTGTCGTAATGTTATTCCCTCCGTTGATAGACCCAATATTTCAAATGCTCTATGACATCATAACAATAATTACAAAACATGTTTGTATCTATTTTAAACAAACTATACTCTGTTCACTGAGGGAATGTGCTCTTACTTCGCTGATAAGACTGCGAGGGAGGAGTAAGAAGGTTTGCGGCAGTGTATGGCACATTTTGGTTTTAGTGCAACCACATTCTCTCAGGGAACAGAGTATGGAAGTGTAAACACACGTTTTGGTCTCTGGATTTCTAGATGTTTTTAAGCCCAATGATTTCTTCCACTTAAACATGGTCTGAGAAACCGATCTTAATAGCTTGGTTCCTTCTTCCAAACAAGAAAGTATACTTAGTGTTTGATCGTAACGTCTTTTACTGACACAACCAACGTCGTAACCTATTAAACATTATAATTACGGTACAATTACATCTTTTAACTATTCTAAAAAAGAACCTTTCTGTGTCAATCTGATATCTGCATTATCAGGTCTTAGATGCAAACGAAATTCAGCTCGACCAGTGAACATGCGATATGGTTCATCTGTGCCTCGTGTGGTTAAATCATCAACAAGTACACCAATGTAAGCTTCGGTTCTACTTAGAGTAAGACTTTTTTTGTTTAGGGACTGAAAAAATTGGAAAATTTTGAAGTTTAAACAAATACAAAAGTATTATTTTTAACACTCACACTAGCACCAGCATTTATTCCAGCCAATATGCCTTGAGCTGCTGCTTCTTCATAGCCAGTTGTTCCATTTATTTGACCAGCAAAGAACAATCGACCAATTTTTTTAGTTTCCAATGTAGGATACAGCTCTCGTGGATCCACATAGTCATATTCAACTCCATACCCTAAACATATCTTGTTATTACATTTCTAAGACAAAATAACTGCACCTTACCATATTGGACGATGTTGGCATTTTCTAGTCCATTTATACTTCTTATCATTTTAATTTGCAAATCTTCAGGCAGAGTACAGGATAGGCCATTTGGATAAACTACATTACTATCAAAGCCTTCTACTTCAAGCCATATCTGATGATTTCTATCACGAAATCTAAAAATATTATTTATTTTTGAACTAAAAATTATAATTTATATTTTTAAAATATATTATGTTATGAATGTATACTTGAGAGATTTAGATTCAAGTGATGGACAATATCGAGGACCCTTTACTTCTTCTTTGATATGTCGATTTACACTTAAATTATCAATTACAATTTGGTGAACTTTACTGTTAGTATAAGTTAGATAACTTTTTATTTGGTCTTCAGGCTAAAAAATTAGCAAAATAACAAAACAAAAACAATATATTAAAATAAACATGGTGATAACACATTTATTTACTTTTAACCAAACTGAAGTGTTCATAAATGAAAACGGTGTTGGTAAATCATCTCCAGGTTGATAGTTCAAATTAGTAAAATTAATAGATTGTTTTTCAATTCGAGGTGGTGTACCAGTCTTCATTCTTCCTGTATTAAATCCTAATCTTTTTAAAGTGTTGGCTAAACCAATAGAAGGCTTAGAATTTATTCTACCACCTGGCTTCACACTTATTCCACTGTACATTTCACCATTTAAAAATGTCCCAGTTGTCAAAATAACACATTTAGTTCTTATTAGTGTTTCATTTTCTAGTAATTAAAAAATCAATGTTGCATTAAAATATTATTATTATTGTGTACAGAAAAAATAGTTGACCAAATACTGAGTGGGACATTTTAAATTGAATTTTTGTTTTTAATAAAAATATTTTTCAACTTATACTGAGAATACACATAGGCTTATTTATTAAGAGGGTTCTTATTTTTTAAGATAGACTTTTTCAATACCTTAGCTCAAATTTTAAAATATATACTTGAGATGAAATTAATTTTTTTTAAATATGTTCATACCAAAAATGTATTTTTATAAATATAATTCATATTTTTTATTTTTAAAATAAAAAAAAATAATTTAAAAAAAATACCCTTTTTGTCATAAATTCAAAATAATGTACATCTTAAATATATGTATTTTTTCTTAAACTATTCATACTAATATATTCTACTATGTATATTATTTTATGTATACTATACAAAACTATCAGTATAGCTAAAGATTATTATTATTTTTTATTTGTCACATATCAAATTGATTTTATCAGTTGAATGATGCTGAGAGAAAACACATGATCAACTATTTACTGAATACTCTGTATGGTTTTAAAATAACATAATATATGTTATACTACCTAATAACACTCCCGTACATTGATTATTATTGTCAAGTAAAATGTTGTCTACAGATCCTTCAATAATATTAAGGTTAGGAGTATTTTCAAAAAGCTCTGCTTGCATATGCTTTTTGTAAAGTTTTCTGTCAACTTGTGCTCTTAGACCCCATACAGCTGGTCCTTTTCTGCGATTTAAAACCTATAATTATACTTAAAGAAGAAATTCTAGTTGTATTGTATCACATTACTTTATAATGAATGCCTGAAAGATCACAGATTTTTGCGCAAAGTCCATCTAATGCATCGATCTCTCTCATCAGATGTCCTTTGCCAATGCCACCAAATGAGGGATTACATGACATCTCTCCTGAAAACCAATCAAAATTCAGAATTCAACATCTATGGATGAAAATTAATATAATTATATTTATGAACGTACCGATTGATGATTTTTTGTGAGTCACCAATAAAGTAGAAGCTCCCATTCTAGCAGCGGCGGAACATGCTTCAGTTCCTGCATGTCCACCACCAACAACAATCACATCATATTGTTTTGAGAAATGACAAAAGTGTTTCATAAAACCATATTGATGAACAGGTAATAACTGACTGAAGTGTTTAAAAGACATGATTAACATTCTAAATTATTCAATTACATCTTAACTATTTGAATAATTGACAAGAATATAAAAAACTATATTGAAACATAATAAATTGACAAAAATATGAACTTAATAATATGAAATTTTATAATTGTTATAGTTAGCCGGGTTACCGTCTTTCAAAATATAGTATTTAATTGAATCTTAATATTTTTCTATGTCAATTGTCAATATCTCGTCAGTATCACGGACCTTGTAATCGGAATTTAATAACTGATAACAAAGATAATATAATGATAAGAGCAGCGCTTCTGGTCTTTCTAAATCTAGAATTTAGACCATGGTTCAGTATAGAAATTATCTTAAATCGTGGTCTAGACTATAATAATGGTTGTAAACACAGATGTAGATAATAAATTATTATTTATATACAGTGGCGTAATTTAGTTAACATTTTTGGTGTTGCAAAAAAAAAACATTAAAATTAAATAAATAAGTATATTCAACAAGTGTTACTATTTATTTATATTATAATTTACAATATTTTTATTTTAAACTTAATTTTCGGCTATTCCCAGAGGAATTATTGTTAAATTCATCAATGACTTCTTCTATATTGATATTCCTTTTTTTTTCAATTTGTAATGTACCAAGATTACTTAATCGTTCTTGACCCATTGTGGTCCTCAGATAAGTTTTAAGTCTTTTTAGACATGAAAATGATCTTTCACAGCTGGCAGTTGTAGTGGGTATAGTAAGAAATATACGAATAATTGATGTTAAAATCGGAAATCCATTCTGAAAATCATCATTCTTAATAAATTCTATTTTCTTTGCCATAGTACTAGTTGTTTCTATGTTGGAGTATTTCAACTTAAACATTCTATTAAAAACTTCAATTTCAGTATTCAGATGTTTTAAATCAAAGTTGTAGGTGTTACAAACAATATTTAATGCTTCGTGTGGTGGATTATTATTGACAATTATTTCTTTTAATCCATTTAATATATCTAGCTGGTTTTCTTGAAAACGTTGTTGCATTTCTCTAATTATGATATCTAAGACTGGATAGTAAATTTCAATACGATAATAATCTTTTAAATTCAAAGTTTGAGGTCCCTTTTCCCCACCACCTAGCTTATATGGAACATTTTTATTTCGAGGTATTTTGGGAGAATCAATGTTATTTGTTTTAATCATCTCCATTGCCTCATTACATTTTTTATTAAATTCAATTTCTGATCTCATCTGTTTTATTATATTTATAGTACTATTAGACATGTCAATTACAGTAGCATAATTAATATTCACAGACTGTAAATATTTTGACAAAATATTTGTATATTCCAAAATATCCTTTAAAACGATCAAACAGAATATAAATTCAAAGTTTTGTATATTATTTAGTAATGATTTAGCTTCAGATCCGGAGTTAATGTCATTATCAGAAATATGTTCTAGAGTATTGATTATTGTACTAAAATTTGTAAATACAGAATTTAAAGCATCCGTGCGACAATTCCATCTTGTTTCACAAAGACTTTTGAGACTCACTGATTTACTTGTACAAGCAGTTTCTGACTGTATGGTTTCAAAAATAGCATTGCGTTTTGATGAATTTATATATATATATATATTATATATTCTGTGCGCACAGCACGATTTAAGATCTTAAATGACTTTTAACGTGATGCATAGTAATAAATAATAATGTACTATGGCATTCAACATTTTAAAGTTTAATGTTCCGCATGAGTGTATGACTGTTATAATAGGTATAGGCACCTATACCCATTTTCAAACGTTGGCGAATGCTATAGCAGTCAATAGTCATACCCATCAATGTGCATGTTACAAATATCTTAACATTTACTTGATAACGTTCCATGAGCTTCAATGGTTTTAATTGTACATTACTGTAGATATATTATATTATTATAGTCATTAGTCAGCACAATTTTCACTTGTGCACATCGGAATATACAAGATTTTTCAATTGTGGTGTGTGGGGGGGGGGGGGGCTTAATATTTAACAGTTACAATTTTTATTTAATTTTGTCCAGTCTAATAATTTCAGACGTTAAAGACATTTAACTGAAGTATTTGAAAGAGTTTGTACAGATTTGGATCTAATAGGCACTTTTGGTACGTCAAAATTGAAAATGATCAGTAGGTACTTATCTGAGTTTTAAAATAAAAGAGAAAAAAAAATTAAAATTTGTTAGGATTTTAATGTTACCTCTAGGTTTTATTAAAAAATTGTTTAGTAACCGTGCGGTGAAGTTAGATCGTCTTCAATTAGATTTTTGATTTATTTTACTTTTTTCTAAAAACATAAAAAAAAAAGAGTTTAAAAACTGAATACAAGGTTCCTCATAAGTTTTTAATACATCTATTTAAAAACATTAACGACATATGTTCACCAAAATATTTTAAGACAATGGACCTAATAATGTGCAAAACCTAATAAAAGTTCTAACATAGTACACAGTACCAAGTTATTCAATTTGCTGCTGCACATTTCATATTTGCTATTGCACATAGACATATCGTGTGCACGTTACTGCATACAATTTTTGGCCCTGCTTTTATAACATCTACATAGGCAACATAGACGTGCACGTGCTCATGGGTGTGGTTTATAGGAAGACTATAGCTACACCTGAGGCTGAGAATTTTTTTAGGTAGGTACCCGATGCTCTGGTAAAAAGAGCCAATGACTCACTTTTTTGGAAAATCAGAAAACATTTTTATCAACTTGATCTTAAAAATTGAAGTGCCTGGCACTATACCTATGTTTTGAAAGTCTGTTTTATTTTATTTTTTACAAATGACGGGGGTTTTGTAATAGTTTTTAGAATAATATTACTGTAGTGTTTCAAAAAAACCATTCAGGTAACATAAAACTGAATACAGTTAGGTACATAATGTTTTATACAATGTTCTAAACAACATACCAATAGGCATTTCTCGAATGTATTTAGAATTCGTGTGGAAGTTCCAAAGGAATATTCCATAGTTCCTACTTCCTAGGGAATGGTTTTTTACATAACTGTAACGGTTTTTCGCACAGTGGGAGAGTACGCTTATCTATATTCGATAATGAATCTGAAGGGTAACCAAAATAAGGCTGTATGACATAAGCGCTTAAGGTACAAAAATGACCTATCATTTGCGCCAAAATTAATATTTTATATAAGTATTAAGTAGGTAGTTATTTAAAAATTTCTTTATCTTATAAAAATTATATTTTATTTATATTATTATATTGATAGTAAATTATAATATAGGTAGGTACATGCACATCAATATTTAATACATTTAATAAATTGGTTGATTTTTTATAAAAATAAAATGTCGATGATAAATTATAATATACATGCACATCAATATTTAATATACATTTAATACATTGGTTGATTTTTTAATCCCACTTTTCAATAATTTATTTATTTTTCTAATCAATAGTTCTAAATGTAATATCTGTTATTCAATTTTTGGCGTTTTTGTACGATACGACTTTTTTTTTCTTATCTGATTTTGGCACTTGTGTCTTCCACCGCAAAATAAATATGTATGTATTATGTATAGAATGTAGGTATTTAGATACTACCAAGTACCAATTTTAACTAATCATAATTTTGTACTGTTATAGAACTAGGTATGCACGTGATAGCAGTATAATTATATAGGATCGTGAGTAGGTACTTTTAGAAAGAATTATTTGTTACCAAATCTACTACAGCCATAATAATTATATTTAAGATCTGTTGTACTATAGTATCAATATATATCGTTTTAAACTTGTAAATATCTAAAATATTATTTATAGTCTATAGATGTATAACACATTCGACACACAAGGAATATCGTCTAAAATCGTCTAATTTTTAAAATTATAATGGCTAAATTATATAAACATTTATTATTTAATAATATTTATATCAACATTAATATTATGTACTAAACGTCTACACATGAACAATTTATTAATGTTAAAATTAATTCTAATTGTGTTGTGCATATTTTGTGTATGTAAGATTACAGTGGTTAGTGAGAAGTATATGGATCACGACTGGTGTCTAGAGTCTGGTGATCAGGTGATCTTAAGTCTTAACTCAGTAGCGGTTTGTGAGAGTAAAGGCGGGTTTCCACTTTCCACTATACACGTTCGGTTAAATCCTTTGCTATGATTGGTTGGTTATGTTAGGTTACCACACGATTAACCACGTTACCATGTAGTTGGACATAGCAGAACATTTTTGTTTACACTGCACACGCTTATTGCGTTTAGTGGAAACCCGGCTGAGACAAATGCCTCACAGATAAATTTTGGCAGTAGGTAGGTCGTAGTGGGTAGGTTATGTGAAAGTAAGTAATTGGGTATTTACTATTTTGTTGTTATATACTATTATTATAGTTTAATTTAGAATTTAGTTATTATATCATTCGGTATATTGATGTGTATAGATATACATCTAATTCTACTACTTCTAAGATTATGAAAATAAAAGTATTGGTTTCTATTAAAAATTAAAATATAGTGAGATAATGGATTCACGGAAAAATGAAGATGTAACAACTAAAAGTTAAAATTAAGATTACTTTCATATTAATATTATTTGCAATGCCGAGTCCCGCCTAATAAAGATGTGGAGCAATATAGTTGTAGATAGGTGGTTTACTGGGGTCATGATATAAACAACATGCGGTATGATCGCAAAAGTTCAGGTTTGATTAAGTATTTAAGTTCGCGCAGCACGTCACTTGCTTACCAAATCATATTTACACCATGATTGTCATTAAATTATAATTACTATACACTACTTCACGACACTTGCTTACCGAAGGATCTGACCATCAAATAGTTACTTTAATCATACCTTATTGTATATACGTAATATTATGGGCTCTGTGGAAGTCTAACACAAATCGCTCACTGATGGTACCTAATATTTATAGTTATAAATTATAATTGGCCATAGATACCTGCACTACAGTCTTGCGGAGTTCGCAATACTAGGGTTATCTACATGCTGCAACCTACTTACTACTAATTATTATTTATTACAACTTGTAAGTCAATAAAATAATTGTACTACTATTATTTTATCTAAAGCAGCTGTTTGTA